ATAGAAAAAATTAAGGAGAAAGAAGAAAAAGCAAATAAATGTCCAAAGAAAAAAAAATCAAAAACAGAACGAGGAGGAAGCAGAAGGAAAAAAGTTAAGAGAAGAGATTAAGCGTAAGTCAGATTCAAATGATGATGAGGAGATGATGCTGTTTGATACAGACAGTGAGCCCGATGCCTTGATAGGAAATACAGCTCCAGACTCTGAAGATTCGGAGTTTATTTTCTGTGGTATTGCGCAGGACCAGAGTCTAATCCCTGGATTTGTGATTTTTGCAAATAATTTGTGTTCCTTTCTATGTTATATCAATGTTTCCAAAGAATATCGTTCAAGTCAAAGTTAAAATTTCATAGTGTTTATACTATTCCATATATGGGGTACCTATTCTATATTTAGATACTTTTATCATTATTTAGTTTTTTATTCAAATTTTATTTAAAATTAGTCAATGCACCCAAAACTTGTTACAAAATAAAGCATAAACATTTGATTATTATTAATGACTACAAAATGTTTTTCATTTGTAACGTTTGAGCAAATTATGTGTAATAAACAAAATGGTATTCCATATTTGGTCACTCTCCTCTATTAAATTCCTCCAACAAAGGTATATGCGAATACTGCTTCTATATGAGTTTTGAACTGATTTTCATGATTAATGTTAGAAATACATAATGCTATATTTATCTTTCATTGAATTCATTGAACGATATTCAGAACAAAAAATACAAAAATCGTGACCAATTCAACACATATTATTTGTTGACCGGCAAATAAACTTTAGCATCGTTATAGTTGTATATGCGGTTGAATTTAGAATAAGAAAATCCTTATTCATTTGATCCACTTCCAATACATCGATCACTGTCATCACAAGTTGAAACTTCAAAAGTCCCCAATTTATAAGATATTCGGAAACAACTCTAATCTCTCGGCCCGGTTCGTCTAAACCAAAACATCAATATGTCCGAGAAAATCGCCCATATCACGACTATCGCCCACTCGCTACAAGACATTTTCACCGGAAAATAAATAATCGAAGAGAAACAAAAACAGGCGCAAGGCGCTCCCTTTGGTCTCTCCAATTAATCTGGATTTAGAGGATCACTGCAGCATGAAACGGCAAGAGCAATGAGTATATTTTGAGACAGATTGTCAAAGCAAGCCAGTAAACGTCTCCTTTGACATACAAACAGTCCAATTATGTAGTGTTTATGCGTTTCTAAATTTGGGACTAGTGGCCCAATTCGAGTTAAAATAACGAACTCTTCCACTCGCTAACAGCAATATTATTGAAATTCGCTTTTTGGAAAGATGGTGAGGATTGACATATCCGTAACTAGTTCTGTATTGCAGGAATTGCCGGAATAAGTTCAATGCTTCGATATTTTGCTGTACTGAAATATGTGGACTTTCATTAAGCGCGTACTATCTTTAAATTTAAATAAAACAAAGTGAGTGTAAGGATATCATCGAATTTTTCAATTTGTTTGAGAGATCTATTGATGCCATTATGTGTGGAATATAAATGTCCACCACAGCTTCTCTGGGTGAAGCGCATCCGAAACGTCCATCTTCTGGTGCATAAATCAGACTGAATTTGACCGATGGCATGGGTTATATTGGCTTTGTGGACCGCTGTGGTTTGTGGTTTATTCACATACACCTGCGACCTAAGAAAACACCAGTCAAATCGCATGGTCTCGGTGGCTAGTTCCTATCACCTCCATGTGAGATAGAATAGAATAGAATAGAATAGAATAGAAATTTATTTATACTGAACAACAAACATAATGGTTTCCCCTTACATGATGTACAGTTTTTTCAAAAGTTCCTTACATATACCATTGAGTACCATTGATACAGTTAAAGTCGATATAAAATATAACAATATAAAACAACAAATAATAAAATGACCGTAAAGAGATTCAGACACATTTGAGCATTCGGAGGAGTTGACCCTCTGTAATACTGAATATATCCAGTTCACAGTTCCTCGCCATTTTGTTAACTGTTTCGAGACATTGTTGAAGAGGAGACAAATAATTGTTTGAGGCACGAAATAGATTGTCTCTTCTTCTCAGTCTTACGTCAGGTACAATAAAATCAGTAATATAGAAAATTTCAGGTATTTTCAGTTTTCTAAGAATGTTAAAAACGAAAATCACTTCCGAGGACTGACGGAGGTCTTTCAATGGTTGCATGTTAAATTAATTATTGTAATTGGCTAGAATACGATATAAATAAAGGCCAAACATTGTGTTTTCTGGAAAAAGAGTGTTCTAAATAATCGTTTTTGGACTTTTTCTATAGTTTCAGAATATTAAAAGGTCTTTGGATTCCAAATGACCCAACCATATTCCAGGTTACAACGAACAATGGAGTTAAAGAGTAACAAACAAGTATCATGATTGAATTCACGGCTAGATATTGAGACAAAGCTCATTTTTCTATAACATTCAGATACCAAGTATTCAATGTGCCGAGAGAAATTGAACACACCAGTAAAAGTGATCCCGAGATCTTTCATCTCATTGATTCTCTGTAAATTGGTATGATTAATTGAAATAGTCCTTGATAGTAGGTGACTTCTTTCGTGTGAAACTCATTATTTTGCATTTAGCTTCATTGAGAGTTAGGTCAGATACTGAAAAGTAAGTAGATAGATTATTGAGATCATCTTGAAATATACCAGAATCTTTTTCGCTTTTGATTCTTCTAAACAGCTTGAGATCATCGGCATATAGGAGAAATTGGGAATGCCCGATATACCGAGAAATATCATTAACAAATAACACGAAAAGGAGGGGTCCCAAAATCGAGCCCTGGGGAACTCCCGAAGTAGCGGTGAATTTGAAGGAAGATACGTTGTTGAACTTTACGAACTGTATTCTGTTGGATAGATAGCAGTGAAAGAAATCATGTCCTCAAGTCGCTCATGCAGAATATCCAATGTGGAATGAGCTGTGTAGCACGTAGCACCTTCCTGTTGAAACCACATATCGTTGGTGTCCAGATCATCCACTTCAGGCCAAAAGAAGTTGTACATAAGATACATATATTATCGAATGAAAATTAGAAAGATATCGAGAGAAAACTACATCGATTGTGGTAGGTTCATTTCGGTTAAGTGAGTGACTTTAGCATTTATAAGTATAGATTTGTAGTTCTAATTTACCTTGTAGAAAGTTTACCAAAAGTTTTCCATCTTTGGACGCGAAATTAACATTTAAATCTCCTGCAAAAATTAGTGGCAATGTATGATAGTTTTCTCCTAATTCTTCAGAGTCTACTCGACCGTAAATGTGTGCTCCCACCTCTCTCTCTCTCTCTTGCCCCTACAGTAATATACTAAAGGTAAGTCTCTCTCTTTCTATCTTCACTAACTTATACCTTCATCTCAACTTCCGTTTGCCTCGCCCGATCACACTTTTCGTAACGCTCCCGTCACGCATTCACCAGTTTATTTCCCAAGTCAAGCGCGCGTAAATAAGTTTTACTTCAGAAAGTACTTTTAAAACAACTATTCTCATATGAAATTGAATTATTTGAAACTTACCTTTTCCTATTCATTTTGTATTCCAAACATTCGTGATTGAATTGAATCAGATATAATTCATAGGAACGCTACACAATATATATGAAAGAGTTACGACATAAAAGTTTACTTACTTACTTTATTTATAACAATATGACTTTAGGTCACGGAAGAGACAATTCTACTCTTGTCACGATGAGAGTACGTGAAAACATTCCTATGCTTATCTGATTCAATTCCAAGTATAGGAATCCTGTTCGAATTGAAAGGGGTATATTTTTAGGAGAGATTAGCTCTCAAAAAGAAAGTTTTCTACTTCTATCTTCATACCAAAATTTTGAGAAACTTTCCAGGGAAGGAAGAAAGCAAGATACAAACTAAAAAAAATGTCCTTCCAAAACAACTACCTCTCACATGAATATTGAATTACACGAAACAGAAAGTACTTTATCAAGATAGTAACTAATATCCAGAAGAAAAAGAAATTAAGAAACGAATCTCTTTGGAAGATTTCGAATAAGTTTAAACATTTCTATACCACAGTTGTTTCAGGAGAATTTTCGACTTCCTTATCCCATTAGTGAATATTTGGCTCAAAATGTCTCTCCTGTGGGTTTTTAGAACTTATATCTTACATTAGTGATAATTGGTAGTGACTCTCCTTCGCGACAATAGAGGGGCAACAGTTGATTCGTGTGACTTTTCCATTCAAGGGTGGTATTTGGAATTTCAACAAAAAAACCCTTTATCCAATTGATTTAACTTGATTCCCGTAACCCAATTTGGTTCAGATTTTCTAAAAAATCTTACCAACACATTATAGGCAGTTTTTTTTCCAAAATTTTACTTTTTTTGTAGTTTGGGGCGTGCAGAAATTCAATTCATATTTATAGGGCTGGCATTTTCTGTTCAGGTGCGATCAAGGATCATTATCAGCAAGGCATTACTTTTATTATTACCTACTTTCAGCTCGTTATTATTTTTGATGCTCGTCTGAATTTGGGTTTGTGGACCTACATATTCTATGTTGTGTTTTACTATATTTAAATAACTCCAAGAATCTAGATCAGAAGTTTAAAACGAGTTTTTATAAACGAATGCCTACGTAAAAAAAGTGATCCATGTTTAAAAATAATTATGGTGAAAATGCCCCAATAAATTTTTGAGTGTTCAATAATCATCAATCAATTGAGTATTTTTGGTTTTTGCTCAGTAAAATCGCTACACCAGTATTACAGGTTGTCTAATCAGTTACTATTCCAATAAACCTAATAGCAACTTCATATAAATATACATTCTCAATCTCTTGAGACCATAATCAAAACAAATTCTCATATAAAAATATTTTATTTCAACAAAAATAAATACATTTGTCATCCATAAATTTAATAGTATAAAATAGTATGTATAATATTTACACCTAAATAACCCTAAAAATCTAAGAACATTTGGTATCTTCGAAATGGGAGATGCTCCCATACCTAAAAATACAAAAACTCGACCATAAACTGTTTTTTACGTCCATGTATCTCCGAATCGGAAAAAATACAACAGCTGCTCATGGTCGTTTCTCATAATATCATATTAACACTATGACGCTTAACCAAATGGCTTTTTTTCTGAGTAATGCGATCCTCGTCCTAAAAGATTACCGATGACTAAAAAATTTACCACCAGCTGAGCGCCAAGAGGCTCAACTACAAAAATTCGCTCGAAATCGAAAAATATTTGAACATGATAAGTTACTGCGAGTACAAAAAGGTTTGAAGAAGGAATTTGTCTTCCAAAACTTGTTTTTTCTACAGAGAACAGCAAAATATGTGTTTTTTGTTGAGAGATATGTCTTTCATTATGAATAAAAGGTAAAACTGTTTCAATATTTATCCTAATTTCTATATATAGTGAGTTCGAAGAATTCATTCTGATCGTCAATTGCTCTCCAAACTCTTCATTCTTATAATTACGAGTTAAAAACAGTTTTCATCGATAAAGTCGCCAATACAATGACATTTAGAATTTCAAACAAAGTATTATAAATCAGGATGAAATACCGTGAAACTAACTATAGGGACACTTTCGTCAAAGAAAAAAATAAACTCTGCATCTACATGACGTTATTCATTCAGATTAGTTTTTCTGAATTAGTTTTCAGTAAGATAACAGTAAAAATAACGTATCAGTGATTTATATGAGGATGTGAGTGAACTAATGAATTTCATGGTTTTTGAATTTTCCTAATGAAACTACAAATAATTTTATTTAGAAACTTTGAGGTAAAGAAACCATAATGGAACAGAAATACCAGGATTATTCAGCTTTTCCACTTCAAAGTATTGTCAAAATTTGAATTAATCTGAAGATGAAAAAAGTTGAAAGGATATAATGGTTTTTAGTGCATGAAGTGCAAAAAGTATAGATATCTACACTATAGTATACTATAGTAGCATATATTATTCAACCTTTCATAAATAAACAGAAAATATTACCAATCAAGATACTGCTTTTTAACAATGAAAGATATTCCTGTTGATAATTTCATTTTCAAGAAAAAGTAATTAACTGATAAATCAACATCCAATTATAGATTCATAGGAAAAGTTCAGTTTAAAATTTAAAAATATTATGTCCATAAGATGAAATGTTTTTCAAAGAAAGTATACAACTTCTCTACAAATTATCAGAGTAATTGATGTCTGGCAAAAATTTGCTTTTCATGAAGGTGTTCATAATGCTAAATTACTCAGAATATATACTTTTCTTGTAGCTAAAAACTCAACACTACATTTCTTTGAAAAGACATTCATCCTAATGTATTTTTTCTAATGTTGTCCGGAATAAGTACAATTTCCACAATATATATTGTTTGGAAGAAGTATAACATTTTTGGTAGGTATACAGTTCTGAAACATAAACTGAACATTAAACCATACTTCCTTATTCTTTACAGGAATCGAAAAAAACATTACATTGAGTTTGAACAAAAAACTGAGTCGACTTCCAATCTGTTCTATGAAATGTGTAAAAAAAAGATTGAAATATTGTATTGTGGTAGTAGTGTGTGCGCCGCATTTGTTTAATTTCTCAATAAATTGATAACCTAGAAAACTTAGATGGTAATTTTGAAGGAAATCGGCCAAAAACAACTTTTAGGTCAAATATTGACTCCTTTGAATAATGAAGGAAATCGGAAAAATATTGTATATAAACAGTCATATTGAATCCACCATTTTATCTTTCCTGAAAGTTTTGTAAAATCGAAATTCATAACCCGTAATAGTAGCAGACAAACTGTGGAGAAACTTAACCATGAAATTTTTTTTATGTTCGATTTTCCCAAAATAGACATTATTCTATTGATTCTCTTAGCCATTATTCATGAACAAACATAAAAAAATTACAAATAAGCATACTATTAGATATTGAGGCCAGAAGAATCTTAATAATGAAAATAAAAAAATAGTATAAATTTTTCATTGAATCTCAGGAGTTTGAACTTGTATTATTAAACAATTAGGATACTTGAATCCTTTGACTGAAAAATGTAAAAGTAAAGGAACAAATCTTATTTTGAAAATGAATGAAGAATAGAGACGGAAAAGAACTGTGAAAATTGTTTATTTTTTAAATTTTCAGCTAGTATCCTGACTTTTTCAATTTATTCTGCAGTTTTCCTAACATTCATTCTTTCTATCAGTTTCATTTATTTCAACCATCAATATTGTGTATTAGATAAAAAAAAGTAAAAACCCATCTTTATATTAGTTTGCGCTTCTCAACAAAGCGTCGGCTTATTTATATTCATTCAATTGAAGGCTAATTAGGAAATTCCTCATTGAATACCAAGGCATGTTTACCTGGGACTAATTCCAACATATTTCAGGATAATGGGGGTTCTAATTTATATTAACTTTACCGAACGAGCTCAACTTTTGAATATTTGAATGAAAAAGGTTATATTTTTTAATATCTGATTTTTTTCTTTCCATTGTTGACAATAATTTCATGCCTTGCAAATTCCAAACTCAGTATAATCACCATAACACTTAGCGAAAGAAAATTGAATTGAAAACCCATGTTACAATTCTTCCGATGGACGCAAACTTTATTTTCAGGACTCATGAACTTTCTGATAAACAATTAATAACATCAACATATTAATTTATCATTTCCTTTGTTTCTTGTTAACTCAATTCATGAATATCTTTAATATTTGATGTTTCAGTGACAATAAATAAAACAACATTGTTTTGTGAAATCAAAATTAATAAAGATTTTCTTCACCTTCAAATTTATATGAACTGTCTTGAAATGGCTGGAAAAACATTCACTTTTTATCATTCAAAATGTACCGAAATGTCTTAACAATGGTTTAACTCAACAAAATTTGTTCTGGATCTGGACAGTTGAAAGAAAGATGGTAAAATAAAAAATAGAAGAAGCGTTTTCAATTCAAAAGTGGTTTCAAAAAGAAAATGAACATGAATTCAAATAATTAAAATCATCATTACCATCATTATCTGTTTTTTTAATCACTATCACTCTATTGTTTGATATTTTTGAATTACTCTGATATAAATCTGTGTTAACTACGAGAAATAGTTACTTTTGGTGACATTTATTCATTGCTCTCAGAAAATAATATGTGTACATAAATCTATTTAAGAAATGGCGGCAGCAACTAAAAAATGCCTACACTTTTTGACGAAATATATCGAAAAAGCAGTACCCCTAGTTTACATTTCATTTTGAAAAAATTATGGTGAATTGGACGGTTTGGAAAAATAATGTAAGCTCTAAAATATGAAGGTGGACACAAAATTTGTCACAAAAGATATACTAATCAACTTAATTATCATACGGACGTATTTTCTCCTGGACTATTTTTTCTTAGAGCAACCTCAACGTCAAATCAACGAAAAATCAGCAAAAATAAAGTCAAATACGAATAAAGTCAGCATCAAGTGACCATTCCTAATCGCAAAACTCTCGTTATAAAAATCAATCACAAACATTCTCCAGGACCTACAAAATCCCTTAAGTTAATATTGCAACAACCAGCGCTCCCTCAGAAAATATATACACAAATAATCCTACCAACTAACCCCTCATTCGAGGGTATTCCAGTCCCCTTCCATCCTCCACATGCTGAACGCCCTGGACAACTTCTCGTGGGCCGTATAAGAACAAACGTTTCCCAAAACGTCACTTTCACCGGGATTGTTCGGAGAAGACGTCGACAAGACGTGGTACAAAAAGTCTATATACCTAGCCGCAAGCTTGAGCGTCTGTATTTTTGACAACTTATCCGACGGTAGCGTCGGAATGCTCTTCCTTAAGCTGGCAAAGGCCTCGTTCAAGCTTTGCGTCCTTTGTCTCTCGCGCACGTTGGCCATGATCCTTTGTGTCTGCAGGTCCTCAAAGCTCTGCGGGGATTTCCGCCTAGCTTTAGTCTTCCCGAAGGAGTTTTCGTCATCCGATTCTAAACTCTTCCTCTTCCTGCCGATGTTTCTCGTTTTCAGCACTGCGGTCTCCTCAATGGGCTCGACCTTGATGAAGGAGGTGTCTGAGTACTCGTAGGCCTGGTTTCTGTCTGTGTAAGCAGGAGAAGGGAGCCTCCTTTCTGTGAACTCCTCGTAATACCTCAGGTTATCGTTCTGGAACATTTTGAGGTCGTTCTGTTGGTGGTACGCGTATGGGTTGAAGGCACTATGAGAGTCATTGTGAGGTAAAACAGCCGGTAAGTATTTATCTGCCGAATTGGTCAGGTCCATCAACCTAGTCTGACCATACCCTTCGTAGTCGGGAGAGGAATTTGGGGTGAGCTGCCCGTATACGGGGGACGAAGTACCACTGCGGGCTTCGAACATCTTTCCCATAAAAAATCACTGAACTTCACTTAATTATTCACTCGACATTCGGAGATGACGTGACACGTCTAATCCTGGCAAGGATACGTTACTGTGTAGTTTGGTTTCCGATATTCGTACGAAAACTTAAGATAGCTTAAGCCCGCTCCCAGCCAATTACAGGAGAGGAACGTCCCTACCCGGGAGATGAGTCCTTTTCCGTCTCTCTCTTGTCTACCGGGCGCCCTTTCATATCTCTCTCTCGCTGATTTGCATAGAGTATCATCCCAGCGATGCTCTTCATCTCATAGACTGTCTCTGTTTATTTCATTGATGTTTCGCAGAGTGTAGACGTTTTGCTTTAGTTTGTAATTGGAGTTTTTTAATTATCGAGATTCTGAAATAACTTCATAATATGGAAAATTAATGAAGGAGGTTGTATTTATAAACGTTTCGTTCGAACGTTGAAAGATATCACGAAGCCATTTTATGGCTTTTAATTATTAGTTCCTTGTGAAGTGGAACTTCCGTGAAGCGTGATGAGTTTTGTCTGTAAAAATAATCCGTTGTACCCACTATAATTAGTCTTTGTTGCCAGATTTGTGCTTCAAAGCGCCTTAGCTCAAAAGAGTGTTTAGAATTTAACCACTTGTGTATGTGGGGAATAATTATAAGCCACTTTGCTCAAAATTCAACATAAATTAAATACGATTTCATCTTTCAGTGTTGAATAATGCCTAAGTGTATTCTAACAACTTCTGAAGCGAATACTATCTTTATGCAAATGAGAAAAAACCAAAAACAATATGTCGAAAATAGTAAGAAAACATTTTTCAATCCAATTTAAATACTAAAAATTATTGTGCCTCTCTGAGTTTCACCAAATAAATAAAATAAGTACATATTTCCAGATTATCATCGATAACCTATTCTTTCATTAGTTACAATTTTTCAATATTTTTACTTCACTTTTTAAAATCATCCATTAATTATTGATCATATTTATTTGGCTTTTATTTAATTATTTAAACTTTGATATAATAAAAAACTGAGGAACTTACTCAAAATTTTTCAATTATATTTGTGGGAATCAATTGTTCGAAGTTGGTTCTAAAAGCAGAAAGTCCTTAAGGTGTGTAAAACGAATATATTTTTTGTATTATTCTGTTCATTCTATTTTTGGTAGCACGTTGCCGACCTTCAATTCATAACTTGATTTATTGGATTCCAATTGGCTTTTCGCCCTGAATATTTATCTCAACTTTCAGACAGCTTTTGAAATTTTTGAAAGTATTTTCTACAATATAGAATAAGGAAAATATTATAGTCTAATAAACCGAAACCGGTCGTAACAAATAAAAAAATTATGTAGAAATTAGACAAAGTTATTTCCTTTATTCTATATTCAATATTAATTTTTACAAAATAAATAGGTCATTAATCGAACAAGATAGTTTTTACCAGACTGGTCATGGTAAATAAAAAAAATTGTACTTCCAAGTATTTCAATTTATATAATACCCTGCCACTTTTATATCCATTCTGAATGTTTCTTCCGAGAATACATGATTATTTCATCCCCAAAATTCATAAAATCATTCCAATTTTTCAAAAATAGGGTAGATTTTACAAATAAAAGTTGGGTTCTTCCAGTAATTGATACATATTCCCTGTTTTCTACCTAGATAGGATTTTAATATAGTAATGTTTTTATGAAATCTCAGAATATTCCCAAGAAATTCAGTTTTTGAGAGAGAGAGGGAGAGAGAGAAAGAGAGAGAGAGAGAGAGAGAGCAGGTTATGTAGCTTCACAGTAGGAGGTGTTCACAAGAGTAATTTCAGTCACAAAATACTTAGATTGACTTAAAATATCTCCAGCTTTCTAAAGTCCCTGCTGTTTTTATATATCTATAAGTAGACAAACATATTTCACACACAAATTCCGTTGTACTAATTTTTTAAAGAAAGGTCTTGTAGATTTTTCTGTCAGGAACAAATAATCTATTATCTTCAGCAATTGATAAACATGGTCATTGAAACTTTATTCATGAAGTGAGGGTATAGCGTTTTTTCTGAAAGGTTCAAACATACTAATCCTTGATGATACCAATCTTTGTGTGATGAAGATATAGGTTTTATTAACATTTGAAAACACTCTCGATCAATCTGTGCTATAAGAGACCCTCGTCTAATGACAATTACCGATATTATTATATGAACAGAATCAAAAAAATACAAAATGGGTTACTGAGATATCTATACTATACAGAAAAACATTTTTGGCCGGATTACACAAAAGTCAGATCAACGGATTTGATGCAGCATTTCAAAATATCATCTCTTTATATTGGACGGGATGTAACACAAATAATGTTTTTATACAAGGTGATGAAAAATAATATTACAGATATAAACACACTCGAACTCATATATTTTAATGTTCCTCAGTATCCTACAAGAAGTCCAATCCTTTTTAAACTACCCAAGGCAAGTAAAAAAATAACTGCTCTGAATCCTTTCTCAACCATGCTTCGTAAAGCAAATGAAATTAATGTTTAAACAAATTTAGATTTCAGAAATTCTTTCTCGAGTTTCAGATATGATGTTATTAATTATTCATTAGAAATATAAATGTGATCGTAGAGACTACGTTTGAAAATGAGTTTTTCAGCGTATATGTATAGAAGTAAGTTCACACAATTAATTTGCAAAGAATTTCCATGTAATTAGGCTGTTAAGTCTGTATGGAAGATGAAATAAAATAAAATAGTGATTTAATCAGATATATATTCTATTACCTGAAGAATATGAATTAATGATAAAGCCCTTGCGTCCTAATAAGTGTTGTTATGAGTAAATTATAATTAGTGTGCGAATTTAAATGACCACTCCAGTTTTCTCTCCAGTAAAATGAATGAGCAAATGTGCGGGAGTTTCAAAATCATCCATATGTAAATTCAAGAATGAGAAAAATTAAGCTGTGGAATCGCAGGAAGAAAAACTGTGCCTGTCGACTAGTTATTCTGAAGAAGGAAAAACAAATTGTGGAGTTCCTCGAAGCTACGACATGGAATCACTTTCTGGGGTGCATGTACGTTTTTCTTGTAAAGCATAACCACGAGATTCTTGCAGACCACTGTTTAAGGAAAAGAAAATCCACATTTGTATTCTTATTATTGAAACCATATATATGTCTGATTGTAAAACATCAAAATCGGTTTACAATTGATGCAAACGCCACTCACCAAAAAAACACTTTGATTTGCCAATTCCAAAATATTCCCTTATTAAAATCTATTTCATTTATAACGGGTTGAAAATATTCAATCACCTTCCATTCCATCTGAAAAGCCCATCCCATAACAGGAACTTCAGGAAAGTTTTGAAGGATTTTTTTGCGAAAGAGCCTATTATAATTTATCAGAGTACCTACTATCTACTTTTTAATTCTACTTGTGTATGACTCTCATTACATTTCGCGTAATCAATATTGGAAACTTTTCAAATACATTCTCATTGACTGTTTTCGTAAAAGTTTTGTATATGCTATGTGAACACAAATTGATTTTGTTGTCTTCTTCTGTCCTTTTTTGTCGTTTTTTCTGTTTCATCCACTCTTGATATCAAAATCCCATAGTGCCTGTTCCCACAGGAACCAGTGACCCCCCTCAAAGCGCACACCGTCATCTCTTTTTCCCTAACGGATTCCTAGAATCCCAGAATACATCATACTCATCTCCAAAGCATCACCCGTCCGACAGCCGCCATAAATTCCTGCCGTGCAGGTGCCCGTGACGTTTACAAGCTTTTTTCGGTCGCCATCAGACTTTTTTAATTGATCCGGGATACGCGTAACGACTGATTCGATAGTTTTTTTAAGCTACGGTGGTTCGCGTTGAAAGCACCCTCTCCGAGATGTTCTCCAGTAAGTGTTAGAGTGAGATAAGAAAGATAGATAGGCTTCGAGGGGACCGTCAGAGAGGGTGACAGCCGGGGAGGTAGACTTGAGTTATGGCCGCACGAGGGTGCGTGTAATTTAGAGAGATCCCGATTCTGTCGATGAAGAGGTGTCCGAAGATATTCATTCATAAGAGAGTTGAAAATTTAGGAGGAGGAAAGCAAATAATTTCAGAACAGACTGAAAATAAAAGTCCTCTTGAAAAATCTACGTTCATATAAACACTGAATTATACAAAAATCATTGCAGTTTATACATTCGTTTAGAGTCCGTTTTGAGACAATTTCAAGTAACCTAAATAATTCATCCGATTCATTACTGAGTAAGTGAATGGGTAAGACTTTATTTCCTTTATGACAAAATAATTTGTATAGGATTAGTCAATGTCCATTTTTTCAAACAATCGTATACCGTTTCTTCCTCTTTTTACCCAAACTCTGATGTTGATAATAATCACTTTCTTGATATATCAAGCTTCAGTGAAAACGAAGTATATGAGGCACTAAGGTCGCTCAAGCTTAAAAAGACCACTGGTCCAGATGACATTCCAGCTTTCATCCTAAAAGATTATTCACTTGTGCTTGCTTGTCCTCTATCTATAATAATTGATATCTGCTTAAGATCGGCTACAATACCAAGGATCTGAAAATCATCAAAAGTCTGTCCCATTTTCAAGAAAGGAGATAGACGAGATATTTCAAATTATCGGCCTATCTCTCTTATTTGCAACTTTGCAAAGGTTTTTGAGATTCTGCTGGAGCGAGTTATATATCGGCATGTAAGTTGCAATACAAGTATAAACCAACACGGTTTTATGAAAAATCGTTCAACGTTCACCAATCTTCTGACTGTAACCCAACATATTGCTGAATCTATAGGGCCCAAACTGATGTTATTTTCACAGACTTTTCTAAGGCCTTCGACAGGCTTGACCATGGCATTCTACTAAACAAACTAGTAGCCTTTGGATTATCTCCATCCTTAATCGCACTCTTTCAGTCCTATCTACGGGATCGAAAACAATATGTTCAGCTCAATGGTTTCAAATCTACCGAAAATAGTGTTTCTTCCGATGTTCCACAAGGGTCACATCTGGGACCGTTGCTCTTCAATATCTTCATTAATGATATTGCAGATGAT